ACTCCTATATCAATCAGGGTCGGGCAGGGCGCACACGTGCCGGGAAGTGTTTCCGCCTGTACTCTGAGGCCATATTCACTGGGCTGCTGCCACCAGTGACTGTGCCTGAGATACAACGCATGAACCTGTCGACTGTGATCCTGTACATCAAGTGCTGCGGTGTGAGTGATGTGGTGGGCTTCGAACTCCTTGACCCACCCACTACACTGGCGACCCGGGAGGCGATGCGGGATCTCATTGTGTTTGGTAGGTAGATTTTAGGGTTTTGAATCCCCTTCCCTGAAACCCTTGAATAGTGGTGAACATTACCTGGTTATAGTATATGTTGTACCAACTGACTCAGATACGCGGGTCTTATTTCGGTACACTGTGTCTGCTTTCAGGCTCATTGACTGATTGGTATGGTGTGTGTGAGGTGAGGGAACTCGTATCATGGCTGTGGTGGCTATTCGAGACTTGATTGGCGTGATATCGTACTTTTAGATGACCATACTAAGTGTGGGTAGTAGGTATTGTTTTGGTATACTATATCTGATTAGTAGGTGTTGTTTTTGTATACCATATTTGGTTAGTAGGTTTTCTTTTTTTTGTATACTATGCATGGTTAGTAGGTGTTGTTTTTGTATACTATATTTGGTTAGTAGGTTTTCTTTTTGTATACTATATCTGGTTAGTAGATGCTCTTTTGGCATATTAAATCCGATTATTACGTATCGTTTTGGTATATTATGTACTGCTTACTGGCTGATTCCCTACTGTGGTGTGAGTTCCGTGGTTAGTTACAATCTCACTGACTGGCCCGCACAATTGGAGGCTTTTGAGGTGTTGCTTTACTTCATAGTTCGTGTTTGGTGTTCCACTTATTGCTGTATATTTAATACAACACGGTTCTAAATTATATATCAAGTACTGTTGAGTGATGTTTCAGACTGTAACATACCTATATCCGAGAGTTTGGTATTCACCGATTTAAACGTTAAGGTGTCGATATATAAAACTTGTCGTTTTATAAACAAACTAATACCAAATTAGTGTCACGTTTGCACATTACACCCAATTTTTATAGGCGCGCTCTCACCTAGAACGGGAGATGTGACTGAGACGGGAAAGCGGATGGCAGATTTTCCAGTATCGCCAGAGATGTCCATTGTCATTCTCAACAGTTTACCCTTGGGGTCCGTCTATGAGGTGAGCTGTGCTTATAGATCGATGTATATATATGTGTGGATATAT